TAGTTTCATGCTATTCTTTTTTTTATATCCCACAAATGAGTGTAATCCTTGTATGTCTGTCCCTCTCCTTCTGACTCACTTCACTCCGCATGATACTCTCCATGTCCACCCATTTTATAATCGAATTTCATGACTTCATTTTTCCTGGTGGCTGCAGAGTATTCCATGGTGTAGATGTGCCATAGTTTATCCAGTCATCTGATTTTGGGCATATAAGAATCCTTTTAAGAAAGAGAAATCCAGGGGCTGGAGAGATAGCACAGTGGGTAGGGTGTTTGCCTTGCATGCACCTGACCAGCCAGGTTCGATTCCCAGCATCCCATTATGGTCCCCTGAGCACTGCCAGGAGTAACCCCTGTGCATCACCAGGTGTGACCCAAAAACCAAAAAAAAAAAAAAAAAAAAGAGAAAGCCATGGGCTGACACAGTATAAGTGATTAGGGTTTTTGCCTAATAAGCAGTCCACTCAGTTTTGATCCCTGACATCACATATGGTCCCCTGAGCACTGCCAGGACTAATTCCGGAATGCAGAATCATCAGAAAGCCCTGAGCATCACTGGTTATGACCTAATAACTTACAAAACAAGGGCGGGAGGTGAAATCCAGGGGTGGAGAGGGGACAGGGACAGGGACAGAGAGAGTACAGGACCTGAATATCCAGATTCCTAGCACCACATATTGTTCCTTGAGAACCAGAGGCCACTCCTGACACAAAAGCCAGGAATAACTTCTGAGCACCACAAGGGATGGGGGTGGGATGGACACCGGGGCCTGACATTCATCCCCGTTTCCCAAAAAGGAAAATTAAAAGGAAAGGAAATCTGGACACAGACATATGTAGGGGGAGATGTGAAGATGGATGGAAATTTCTGTGATGCTAGGGAGAGGCCTGGACGAGGTCATTCACAGACTCTAGGAACAACCTTGCCAACATCTTTGGGAAGGCACCTTTCGACACAGGAATCACCCCAAGCTCTACAGAGGCCAGTCCATTACCATAATGCTGCACTACCAAGTCTACTTGTAGGCCCAAGCTATCACGAACACTTACATCGTTGGTCTTAAAAAGTGTCTATAACAGGGGCTGGAGCGATAGCACAGCGGGAAGGGAGTTTGCCTGGCATGCGGCCCGACCCAGGTTTGATTCCCAGCATCCCATATGGTCCCCCGAGCACCGCCAGGGGTAATTCCTGAGTGCATGAGCCAGGAGTCAGCCCTGAGCATGGCAGGGTGGGACCCAAAAAGTAAAGAAAAAAAAAGTGCCTATAACATCATTCACACTCAATGGCAACCCAGGGCTCCTGTTATCTCCTCGCCTATCGTAAAAGCCAGAGAGCAGCTCAAATTTTTGTTGGTGCCTTATCAACTCAATGTGTGTATAATACTTGATTCCAAAATTTAGCATCTTAAGCCAGCAGGTATTTGCTACCTCCTAGGGGTCTGACCGTCAGGAACGTGAGGGCAGCCTGGATGGTGGTTTGCGTTCTCGAGGCAAGGGCGAGGGTTGTAAGAGCTTACCTGAAGCAGGAGCTTCCTAGCGGCTGGAAAAGCTCCCTCAAAGGCTGGAGGCCTCAGCTACTTTCCAGGTGGGGTTCCTTTCTCTTTCTTTAGAAAGGAACTTCTGACAAGTCCTGACTTTCTGCCTCTGCCGTCAAGAGGGCCAGAGCCAACTAGCAGGCCGCCTCTCTCCTCACTAGGCCTCGCATATCATTTCAGCTAGAGCCTGACCCAACACTGGCACCAAGTGGCAAGAATCATCACAGCACAAACCTCAGTGGTTGAGGTCAGGGGCGCCAGCTTAGTGGCTGCTTCCAACATTTCTCACAAAACTGTGCATCTTCATATCCGTTTGCAGCACCTGGAGTTTCACACATAGAAGAGGCAGAGTCCTTTAGGTGAGTCAGAATCTGGTGGGTGGGGCGTTGGCAAGGACAGAACATCTCCAAAGTTCTACCAGCAATTCTGATGCATGAATAATTAGGGGCATGAGAGGACAGTTCACTGGGCTGAGTGGATACTTGGTAGGCTGGGAGTCCGGGTTTGAGCCCCAGCACTACGTGGCCTCCAGGGCATTATAGGACACATCCTCTGAGCACTGAGCCAGGAGTATCCCCAGAGTACTGCCAGATACTGTCTTAAACCAGATACACGAATGGATTAAATTACAATGGAATAAATTAAGGCGAAAATAATTAAAACTGAGTCCCATTGGATGCAAGAAGAGTAAGACACCAGAATATAAAACTGATCAAGTGACCAGTGGCTACGTGATTATTCCCAAGTCATGTAGATTATGCACCATGAGAGGAAATAAAGAGTTTTGCTCTCTTGGCTAAGAATGAAAATCAAGCCAGTGAAAGTTAAAAATAAACCTAACACTAGAATTTCCTATGGACACATGCCTCAAACAAGCTCTTAATATCTTTAACATCTGAATACCTTTTGTCACAGCTGTTATTCTTGTGGTTTCTGGTGGTCCCAGTTGGACGACGATCGACCTGTTCTAAGAGGAGGGTGAGTTTCCTAGCGATTTGCTCAATTCACGAGTTGAGGATTATTCTAGAACAAAAGGAGCCCTTGGTGGGGAGGGAGTGGACTTCTCTGGGCTATATGAGATAAAAAGCACTAACTACATCCAAAAAGAATAAATGTAGGCGCTAGGCGTCCTCTTAATTCACAGTTCTTTATGCAAAGAGTGTCATAGATGCCTACGTCTAATCGTGGTGACGGCTGTGGCCTATGACGTCACCCTCGCATCCAATCATCGCGAACTTATTTCAAACCGCATAATGTTTAAACCAATTGTGCAGCTTCCTTTTCGCGCTTAGTGACGATTATAAGTAGAGCGGCTGTGGCGAAGCCGGTTCAGAGCGCAGGCAGGTTTCCGAGCAGCTCCCGTCATGTCTGGACGCGGCAAGCAGGGCGGCAAGGCGCGCGCCAAGGCCAAGACCCGCTCGTCGCGGGCCGGCCTGCAGTTCCCCGTGGGCCGAGTGCACCGGCTGCTCCGCAAGGGCAACTACTCGGAGCGGGTGGGCGCCGGCGCCCCGGTCTACCTGGCGGCCGTGCTCGAGTACCTGACGGCCGAGATCCTGGAGCTGGCGGGCAACGCGGCCCGCGACAACAAGAAGACGCGCATCATCCCGCGCCACCTGCAGCTGGCCATCCGCAACGACGAGGAGCTCAACAAGCTGCTGGGCAAAGTGACGATCGCGCAGGGCGGTGTCCTGCCCAACATCCAGGCCGTGCTGCTGCCCAAGAAGACCGAGAGTCACCACAAGGCCAAGGGCAAATAGAAATACCGTAATCTGATTCTCAGTCTCCCGTCCAAACCATCCAAAGGCTCTTTTCAGAGCCACCTACAAATTCTTGGAGGAGTTGAACCACTTTTTGCATGCATGCATTACTAAAAAAGCATGTGAAATCCTTCGCTTATCGATTCATCCACCAATAAAACTGATGGTCCGGTGTGGAGACAGCGGGGTGAATTGTACGCGCGCCTACACAGCACGCAAGTCAATGATCAGAGCTAGAGTTACAGCAGCCCCTGAGCATGTGGGAATGTTGGTTAACTAAAAAGAAAACAAACGGTTTTTAAATTTTTATTGTTGGCAGGGAAAAAATAGACCGTTTCCTAAAAGTAGAGTTCCCCTCCCGTTGTTCACACACGGAACCTGCAGGACCGCCTCATCGTGGCGCTTAGATAAAACGTCCTCAGGCCCCGACCAATGAAATGCAGGCGCGCGAGCTTCGAAGTCGCAGCCAGGAACAACTAGTGGGAAAGACCCGCCGAGCGGGAAACCTACATGAAACATTCCTAGGGTTTCCTTCAGTGCAGGGAAGAGAGGGTTGGCGAAACCAAAATCAAGTGCAGTGCCCAGCTAATTTGCAAGATCTTTTGGGTGGCTCTGAAAAGAGCCTTTGGGGTTGTGTCACTTTTGCAAAGTGACCTTCCTACTTCTTCTTGGCCGCGGTCTTCTTCGCCTTTGCGGCTTTGGGCTTGGCTGCCTTGGGCTTGGCCGCCTTGGGTTTGGCCGCTTTGGGCTTGACCGCCTTGGGCTTGGCGGGGCTCTTGGCCGCCTTCTTGGGCTTGGCGGCCGCCTTCACCTTCTTCGGGCTCTTGGTCACCTTCTTGACGCCGGCTGCCGCGGGCTTCTTGGCCTTCTTCGGGGTCTTCTTGACGGTCTTCTTGGCCGCCGCCGCCTTCTTGGGCTTCTTCGGGGTGGCCCCCGCGGGCTTCTTGGCCTTGGCGGCGCCCGCCTTCTTGGCCTTGGGCTTGGCGTCCCCGGAGGCCGCCTTTTTGTTGAGCTTGAAGGAGCCCGAGGCGCCGGTGCCCTTGGTCTGCACCAGGGTGCCCTTGCTCACCAGGCTCTTGAGCCCCAGCTTGATGCGGCTGTTGTTCTTCTCCACGTCGTAGCCCCCCGCGGCCAGCGCCTTCTTGAGCGCGGCCAGGGACAGCCCGTTACGCTCCTTGGACGCGGCCACCGCCTTAGTGATCAGCTCGGACACCGGGGGTCCCGCCGCCTTGCGCTTGGCCGCGCCGCCACCCGCCGCCTTCTTGGTGGCCTTCTTTTTGGCGGGGGACTTCTCCACCGGCGCGGGGGCCGCGGTCTCAGCTGGTGCCGTCTCCGACATTGCGACGGGAAAAGGACGCCGAGAGGAGAGCAACTACCGATGCAAAGAGCAAAGTTTGCAATGCTGCCGGCCGCGGGCCGCGGGCTTATATAAGCCGGCGCCGGCCTGTGATTGGTGGAGCGTCCAATCCACCGCCCTCTGCCCGCCGCTTCCCGCCGTCGGACCTCCAAGTTGTGTTTGTTCGCCCCCGAAATTTGCTTAAATGCTGAATACAACAGTTGAGAATTGGTCCTTTGGAGGTCCTGAAGGAGGAAAAGAGCCCCGAGGCTCACGGTCTGGTTTGTGTTTTTAGGAAATTCGTGCAAACGAGGAAAGATATTTTTAAAAATCCCTCCAGCTTTCCCGAGGCGTCCGCCGGATTTAGGACATAACTGCTGCTTAGTGGCGTGTTGTGTAAATTTCTACTAACTAGTAAGTGAATTTTTCTACCCCAAGTCGTTGCCTTTCGTTTCGTCCTTTGATTTCTTCAAGAGAAAGGACATTAGGTATTTTAGTTTGGGCAGAAGCTTTATTCCTAAGTGTAGCGAGTAACACAAGTTAGGGGCGGCCCCTTGCCCACAGCTGCAAATTAATCACATAGACCTTACTTCAAAAACCGGTTCGGCCTCCCTGCATTTTCCATGCACCAATGTCTTTTGGTATTTTGCAGCTTGGAAGAGCCCAGTTGCCAAAGTGACTTCTGTCTTGCAGGGGTCCATAGTGCTATGACTACAGGTGTCAATCATCTGGCTTCCAAGTTATTTGTTATCATCATTATTAAAGATTCAGTCTCTTCTGAGGCAAATCCATAAAATAAGAATGAAAAGTGCTCAGCCTAGAAAACATAATTTAGGAGGGGATATATGCTGACAATTGTTTAAGGGCTCTTAATGCATCTCAGAAACTAGTTATTACATGGGACTTTTGTCACATTTTCAAGATATTCTTCCTGAATTCCCATCTTTCATAACATTTAACAAATTCTTTTCTCCGGTAAGCAGCCAGGAGTTGTCAGTGTGACTATTTTTGTTTTACTAGAGACCTGTTTTAGAAGAATAATTCTCTTAGAGACCTGTTTTAGAAGAATTCATTATCTATGTAAAAAAAAAGGAATATTAGGGGTTGAGGAACTGGAGGTTAGAGGCTCAGAATAATTCTGGGGAAACATTACAAAATACACGGAAATAGAGGCAATACAAGTGAGATTGGAAAGGAGTAGGTTGGAAAAGTTTGCTCTTTATTGGGTGGGTGGAGAATGAACAGACTTTTGTCTTCATGTTTTGTGGATACTAAGGGAGATGTAGTGATGATTATTAGGTTCTCTCCAGCAGTCAGCAGTCAGCTATTCCAGTGGAGAGTCTGGGTAATCTCTTTAGTGTGGCTAATGCACTTTCTCCTGGAGGACTGGAATACAGGTTTAAGAACTGCCTTGCCTCTTCCCTCCTGGAAAGTTCTCCAAGGAAACAATGAACAAGCTGAATGACTGCTTGTTATAATCTAATCTAGCTAAGAATAGCTTTCTGATTTCTAAATTGTTAGAAAACAACGAAATAGCTCCACTTGTCTTGGCTATTCTCAGTTAAAGAGCTTCCCTATCTTTAAAGGGGATAGGAACGCTCCATGAATTTAAGGGCAGGAGAGCTCAGATCTCTTTGCAGCATTTACGTCACTTGCCACATTTTACTTTTATTAATAGAGAGGGTTAAGTAACCTGTCAAAAAAATCTGCTATGAAAAACAGCATCCTGTATGTTTTCCCTGGATTTAGTTAGCATAACACAGGAAATGGGTCATCTGTCACTAAAATAAAAGGTATTCCAAAAGAAACCCTGTGCAGCACCTAGGCATACAAAGACTGTCACTGATATGGGACTTACTCATGGACTGAATAACCGTGTCAGGGTTACAATTTATGCACTTGCTCTTAACTCGGTGTCAAGCTCTCCTTGGTGAGAATTTAGGGGCTCTGAAAAGAGCCTTTGGGAGGGGTTTGGGAGGGTTTCCAGTGAAAACTTTACGCCCTCTCTCCGCGGATGCGGCGGGCCAGCTGGATGTCCTTGGGCATGATGGTGACGCGCTTGGCGTGGATGGCGCAGAGGTTGGTGTCCTCGAAGAGCCCCACCAGGTAGGCCTCGCAGGCCTCCTGCAGCGCCATGACGGCCGAGCTCTGGAAGCGCAGGTCGGTCTTGAAGTCCTGCGCGATCTCGCGCACCAGCCGCTGGAACGGCAGCTTGCGGATGAGCAGCTCGGTGGACTTCTGGTAGCGGCGGATCTCGCGCAGCGCCACGGTGCCGGGCCGGTAGCGGTGCGGCTTCTTGACGCCGCCCGTGGCCGGCGCGCTCTTGCGGGCCGCCTTGGTGGCCAGCTGCTTGCGGGGCGCCTTGCCGCCGGTCGACTTGCGAGCCGTCTGCTTGGTACGAGCCATCACAAGAGAGTGCAGAGAAAGACGAATGGAAAAAGCTGCGGCTCGCCCCGGTATTTATAGGCAGCCTACGCGTTCTGATTGGACAAGAGTCTGTGCCCGCCCTTCCCAGCACATGATTGGTTCTTTGTTTAATCTTGTAGGGAAAGGAAGCGGCTTCCCGCCTTTTCGGTTAGGACAATGTACAGGAAGAAAAATCTTGAAAAGTTAAAGAAAAACATAATGGAACTTTGGGGAGGGCGGTTCTTTTGCCCGCGCGGACGGTCTGGATTCGGTTCCTGGCACCACATACGGCCCCGCTCTGAAGTCAGGAATGATTTTGAGCACACAGCCAGAAGCTAATAAACCCTGAGTACTGCTAATGCCACCAACAATCTCCCGTCCCTGATACACACACACACACACACACACACACACACACACACACACACACACACACATACACACACACACCTCTCTCTCTCTCTCTCTCTCTCGTAGAAGGCATCTAAAACTGAAAACCTGAAAACGTTGAAAGGTATCAATGAACTCTAGGATGCCAACAATAGTTTATGTAAAATAAAATGCACTTAAACGTAGACTAAGTGGCTTTAAATACTCCACTGCGCTACTGCAGAGTTTGAGGGACGATTTATTTTTCTCTAGCAGTTATGGTGTGCATATCATTGCTCAGTTTCCCTAAATTTGCTTTGTGTTACCAACACGGGGATTTGAGACATGGACTTTTTGGTTTAGACCGACACGTTTAGACAGTTTGCTGTTCATAGTATGAAAGTGCTCTACCCCTGCCCTTCGTGAAAACTTAAAAGTTTTCCACTCCCCAGTCTAAAAAGCAAATTGTGTCTCCAACTCTTTGAAACTGATGTTTTGGGCGGCCCTAAGAAGGGCCTTTAGTTTGTTAGAAAATGAATCGTAGAACACTTAGCCGCCGAAGCCGTAGAGGGTGCGGCCCTGGCGCTTGAGCGCGTAGACCACGTCCATGGCCGTGACGGTCTTGCGCTTGGCGTGCTCGGTGTAGGTGACGGCGTCGCGGATGACGTTCTCCAGGAAGACCTTGAGCACCCCGCGAGTCTCCTCGTAGATGAGCCCCGAGATGCGCTTGACGCCGCCGCGCCGGGCCAGGCGGCGGATGGCGGGCTTGGTGATGCCCTGGATGTTGTCGCGGAGCACCTTGCGGTGGCGCTTGGCGCCGCCTTTGCCCAGGCCCTTCCCGCCTTTGCCGCGACCAGACATGTTCGGACCAAAGACACAACTACCTCTTCGAAGCCAGCCAGCAGCGATTTATATAGTACCATGTCGGACCTGTTTGGGAACTACGAGCACGGAGCGTCTCCCGGATCCGAGGCCCCGCCCACTCCCGGGACCTCGGGAAAGGCGGGGCTTAAAAACCTTTTAGCAACGTTGGAACGTAGAATGACTGAAATCCATCGTGAAAAGCTTTGTAATGCTCTATCTCATACAGAGAGAAAGAGAGAGAGAGAGAGAGAGAGAGAGAGAGAGAGAGAGAGAGAGAGAGAGAGAGAGAGAGAGAGAGAGAGAGAGAGAGAGAGAAAGGCAGGCAAGAAAATGCCTCGGGTGTGTTAGTTTCTCTCTTTTTCCCCATTTCCTGCCCCAGTGCCTTTGTGTGCAGCAGTTCAGGCGAAACTGTAACTTCTAGATATTTTTTCCTTCTGGTCTCTAAACATCCATTGTCCTAGCTGGAAGGAAAAATCCTAGATGCGGACTCGCTATTCCTGCTTTCCTGTTATGCAGAGTGGGTTTGCTTAAATATCCATAGAATCCACAGGAAACCTGGCAGTGCAATTACCCTTTCCCTGGAGGGCCGTTGCAGGTCTCCTGGCTCTTCTGCATTTATTTTTACTCTTTTGTTATTCATGTAGTTGCTTTTGTTTTTCTTTTCTAATTCTTAGTGACTCACATTTGGGCAGAATAACTTTACCCTTTTTTTCTCCCCATGTTGCTTATCCGCGTTTAAGGAACCTGTGGATTAAGAGCTTCCTCTTTTGTTAAACTGGGAAATCTCCACCAGAAACTGCTTTGAACTTCAGGACAGAAGCTCCAAATTTAAAGACCTAGACAGTAATGAGGACCCCCAAGACTTCCCTGTGGCTCTAAGGGGTGTGGATGGGTCACCTTGTTTATCTCTAGGAACTGACTACTCTGAAAGTACTGAAGGCAGATAGCTAGGGCAGCCCCTGGGCAAGGACTTTTGAGAAATAGAAGGGAAGAAGAAAGAGATAAAGGATGTGTGTGGTCAATCCTTGAGAGATAAATCCTGGCCTCTTGAAGAGAGGGAGACTGAGGCACCACACAGAGTGGTGGGTCCCCTCAGAGAACAAGCTACAACTAGGGTCAGAGTAGGGCACGTAGGGCACTTGCCTTGCACTCACCGACCCAGGTTCTATCCCCAGGCATCCCATATGTCCCCTTGATGTCAGTGGGCCCCACGGGTGACTTATGTGTAGCGGGGAGGAGAAAGACGGTCACTTTCTCCCCATCTGCCTCCACCACCAGGGACCCGGGGTTATTGGGTTCTTGTCTTGCCTTGCAGAAAAGAATTTCAGGAGTAGACAAGCAGCGAAGTAAATAGATGTTATTTTATTTGGAGGGTTTTTGAGGTAGGGGAGAGAGAGAGAGAGAGAGAGAGAGAGAGAGAGAGAGAGAGAGAGAGAGAGAGAGAGGGGCGCTCAAGAGAACACAGACTTTTCTAAGGGCGCAGAAAGAGCCCCTGTGAGAAGACACATCCCAGCACTGGACACGAAAATATGAAAGTACACATCTCAAGAGGGAAGATGCAGGCAACACACATACTTGGGCACCATATGTTGCTCAGCCACTTGGGCCCAAGCAGCACCTGGGCTTGGGCAGTATATGCCCGCCCTTCCTTTGTTCAAGGTGGCCTTTATAGGGTTTCTCCAACCTGCCCCCATTCCACCTAGGTCAAAGTCCGTTGCTAAGGAGGTTAGGGGGTGAGGGCTGGGCCTGGGGGGGGCGGGGTGGGAATGGTGATGGTCTTTGAAATTTCTTTCTTGGCCCTGTGCCTTTCTTTCCTGCAGGAGCTTCTCTGGATCTGTTGGTGGCGCCAGGTGAGGGTCTTATCAGGCCTTAGTTCCTGTTTTTCCTGTTTTCTGCAAGGTTGGCTTTTGCCATTGCCTTGAGAGGGGACCTTCCCTATCTACCTGCCTACATCACCCTGACCCTCACCAGGAGTAACTCCTGAATACTAATGGCTCAGCACTGCTGGATGTGATCCAAAATCAAAAAGAAGCTACAGGAGAATGGAAGGTGATAAGGATATTCGTGGTCCCTCAAGAGTCCATGGCATTCCTGTGACAAGGGCCAGCCAGTTTAGCTTTCCAATATGCAGATAACTCCCACCAGGATTATATTGGAACCTCCCAAATGCCATTCTTGGCTTTTCTGCTGTGAGAATCCTGATTTTTCTCGTGGACATGATCTCTCTCTCTCTCTCTCTCTCTCTCTCTCTCTCTCTCTCTCATTACATCTTTTTTTTTCTTTGTGGGTCACACCCAGTGATGCACAGGGGTTACTCCTGGCTCATGCACTCAGGAATTACTCCTGGCAGTGCTGGGGGGACTATATGGGATGCTGGGAATTGAACCTCAGGCTAGGCAAACATCCTACCTGCTGTGCTATCATTCCAGCCCCTGTTCCTGTCATTTTAATCTCAACAGCCTGAAGACGTCCAATAAAGAATAGCTAATGGTATGACTGGTGTGGGGAAGAATAGCAGATTAAAGGCCCAGCCAGAAAAACAACAGAAAGGAAGGATGGAAGGAAGATTATCTCTTTTCCTCTTTTTCTCTCCTTACCTATGCCCAAGTAGGCTCTTGGAACCCAGACAGACAGCACGACCAGGCAGGGCTTTTACCCTCAGTTGTGTAAACTCTAAAACGACAGCACAGCACAGCAGCAGCAGCGGTCTATCTGTCCCGCCGCCAGCATTCAGTAGTCTCACTCTGCTTCCCCCACCCCAGGGAGGTCAATGGTGATGGGCAGGTAAAGGAAGGAAACAAGGGCCCAGCTGGTTGGTCTTAGTTGCAGTTTATTCCAATCCTCTCTCAATCCACTCCTGTCTCTTTCCTCTCCCTCTCCTGCTTCTTCCTCCCCCATGCTACTTCATTCTCTTTCTCAATCCCCCTTCATCCTCCTTCTCTGGAGTCTGGATTCTGATCCTGATCCCCTTTCTCCTCTTGCTCTGGAATCTGGATACTGATCCCCCAGCCCACTCTCGCAGTCTAGTTAAATCCCCAAGCATGAGGGGTTGGGGCTTACACATAGGTGTGGTGACAATCAATAGGGGTAGAATGCTTTCCCTCGGGGACATCTGCTCCTAGGACAGATCGTCATTATCAGATCTGCTCTAGGATTCCCCTGGGTGTGTTTCTCCTCTCCTTGTCCAACGAACATATAAGCATATATAATATAAATCATTTTGTATGGATACAGTAAGTAAGAAATACCTCAAACTTATAGAATTGCCCTCCTAGGGCCATCTTGATCTCAGACCACAGTGCTCAGGCCAGATAGTCTTTCCCTAGCAGGATCCTAGTCTCGTCGTTACTTTTGGATCATGACAGCATTTGTCTATGATCAAACTCTTAACTTATATTAAGAATCGTGGCACTTTGGCCTGGCCCATTTCGATGCCAGGGTCGCTCACCGCTTGTCCTGGGTCCATTCAGTCCCTCATCGGGACCCTGCTTTTGGGGTGCTAGGAACTAAGGGCAACTGAGGCTTAAGTCGAAAAAGCAGATGCCTGGGAGTGAACAATAAAGTAAAGTAAGTAAAGTAAGGCCCTCCCGTTGATCATCGATTTGCTCGAGCGGGCCCAGTAACGTCTCCATTGGAGACTTTGTTGTTACTGTGTCTGGCATATCGAATACTCTCGGTAGCTTGCCGGGCTCTCCGAGAGGGGCGGAGGAATCGAACTCGGGTCGGCCATGTTGGCTGCGTGCAAGGCAGACGCCCTACCCGCTGTGCTATCACTCCAATATTCAAAGCCAATTAAATTCTAAGTTACAAAGCATAATGTTAACGGTCTTCCTGTATCCATACAAAAAGGGCATTGCTTTAAAGTAAACTGTTCATAAGACATAAGGAGAGGAGAAAGGCAATATTTCACTCATACATATAAAATCATAGATTTCTGAGGAATCTGACCTTACAAATTAACAGAGTCTGATTAGGGGGAAAGCTGATTAACTGGGTGGGGAGGAGAGCATATGAAGATTTTACAGATAAACACAATGGAATGGAAGTGCCTCAGAAGCACTGTGATGGGTGTAACCAGATAAACCTAAGCTCCTTGTGGAGAAAGGGAGAAAGGACAAAGCAATGTCATCCTACACCCAGTGATGAGGTTCTGAGCACAGTGATTTGAGCCAAGTGCCAAGAAAGCCAGGACAACAGGGAACTGCTGGCGTACAGGACTAGAGCCGTCCAGTGACAAGGTGCAGTATAGCAAAGCACCAACCAGGAGACAGGTAACAGTTTTCCTTGCCAGAGGATTCCAGATCCAGAACGCCTACAGGAAATGTAAGAACAGTGTAGGGACAAGACCAGATGATGCACCAGAGGCACCAGGATGCAGTAATTCATTCAGACCAGAGAGACAGTGACAACGTACCTGAGGAACCTGGACTCATTTACTTGTGCTGTAGAATAAACTTCAACTTCTTGAGCATCTGTGGTTTTTTATATGCAGATCTTTCATACAATTTTTTAGTTTGTTTATTGGGTCACACCCGGCAATGCACAGGGGTTACTCCTGGACCATATGGGATGCTGGGAATTGAACCCGGGTCAGCTGCGTGCAAGGCAAGCGCTTTACCCACTGTGCTATCCTACAATTCTTTAGAACCCACCAGCCCGGAGGGGGGGAGGGGGGAAATCCACTTGTATGCTAACAGATGGATCATCACAGATCACAGATCACAGATCATCCTGTTATTCGTTGAATGCCTTGAGCAGGCCCCAGTAACATCTCTTTCATCCTAGCCTTGAGATTATATTCAAGGCTCTTTAGGAGAATGAGACCCATCATTGTTACTGGTATTTGGCATATTGGGTACGACACAGGGAGTTTGCCAGACTCTGCCGTGTGGGCAGGTTACATTCGGGAGCCTGCCAGTTTGTCAAAGTAAGAATGCGATGTCATAATAAAATGTCATTCGCGGCCACGCAGTTCCGGGATCTGGTTTTTATAGTCT